GTAGAAAAAGGCAACTTCAAACTGAACGGGTACAGGGATTATATAGGGTTTCTTAGGGGTGGAGATTTTTCAGGGTGAAGATTTTCAGGGTGGGAACTGGTCAGAAATCAATCCCTGAGCTTTGTCAGAGTTTGTAGAACATATGTTCAAGTCTTTCTGGCATTGAAGTATGCACTGAAGTCAGATGTTATTCTAATGGGCCTGCCTTTATATGTGATTTGGTCTTTTTCCTCTGCAGCTTATGTTTTGGAGGGGCGTTGAGACAGGGTTTCTCTGTGGCTTTGGAGGCTGTCCTGGAACTCTCTCTTTTAGACCAGTCTGGTTTCGAACTCATAAAGATCCGCCTGCCTCTGCCTCCCGAGTACTGGGATTAAAGGTGTGTGCCACCACCGCCCAGCTCCCTGCAGCTTTTAATATTCTTTTTGTGTAAATTTAGTGTTTTGATTATTATGTGTTGTGCGTAATTTATTTCTGGTCTTGCTTATTCATTGTTCTGTGTGCTTCTTGTACCTTGATCATTACCTTCTTCATTATACTGGAGAAATTTTCTTCTATGATTTTGTTAACAAGTACTTTCTATGCCTTTGACCTAGGTTTCTTCCCCTTCCTCTATACCTATTATTCATAGGCTTTGTCTTTTCAAAGAGTCCAAGATTTTCTGGATATTTTGTGCCTTGTTTTTGGATCATATTTTCTTTGACTGAACTATCTATTTCTTTCAACTTTTCTTCAAGACCTGAAATTCTCTCTTCCACATCTTTTAATCTGTTGGTGAGATTTACCTCTGAGATTTTTGTTTGACATCCAGGGCTTTTCAGTTTCAGCTTTATTTCAATTTGTGTTTTCTTTAATGATTCTACTTCTATTTTCATGACTTAAAGTGTTTTATCATTTCATTCAACTGTTCATTTGTGTTTTCAGGGTCTTCATTAAGGCATTTATTCATATCCCCCTTAGGGTCCTTGAACGTATTCATAATTGCTATTTTGAAGTTATTATCTGATGATTCAACTGAATTGAATTTCTCAGGGCCTATAACAATAGGGTTACTGCCTTCTGGAGGAGGAATATTGTCTTGACTATTCTTGTGCAAGTTTTTGTGGTCTAGTATCTGGAGTTATGATATTTGAGTTGTTTGGGGGGATAAATATCTGGTTTTTGTCTTTGTTGGGTAGGTATTCTGTTCTTTAGTTGCTGTTGCCCACTGCTATAGGATTCCCAGTTAGAGTGCTTCTCCAGGTCAGTGGATGACACAAAGGAATGGAGATGGGCTAGGAGGAAAGGCTGAGAGGGTCAACAGGAAAGAATTATGGTACAAGGGTCTGCACCAGTCCCCAGTATGTGGAAGTAGGATAGGAGGAAAAGTTCCCACAAGAAGGCTGCTACAGTACTAAGAGTAATTCTGTAGTGACAGAAATGGAGAACAGGAATGATAGTGAAAATTGCCTACCTGTTCATAGGTCCAGTATGGCCACTGAGTTCCCTGGTAGAAAATGTTCTTTGGATCAGTAACACAAGGGAATAGAGAAGGCTATACAGGAAGGCTGAGAAGGTCATTCAAAAAGAGCTAAGGGGACCCTGGGTCTGCACCAAGACTCAGAATCTCCAGGAAGAGAAGCTCTGCATGTTGGCTTCACTAGGATCAAGAGAGTAAGTCTGGAGAGACAATAGTGAAAGAGCTCTATTTACAGGCTTGTTTTTGTTGTGGTTGTTGTTGTTGAGGTTTCCCAGACAGGGTTTCTCTGTATAGTCATGGCTGTCCTGGAACTCACTCTGTAGACCAAGCTGTCCTGGAACTCACAGAAATCCACCTGTCTCTGTTTCCAATGTGCTGGGATTAAAAGCAGGTACTACAACTGCCTGACATATTTACAGTTTGTTTTGTTTTGTTTTTTGTTTGTTTGTTTTTTGAGGCAAGTCTCTATCAGGCTGGCCTTGAACTGACAGTTGACTTCTTACTTTAGCACCCCCACGTACTGACCACTCACATGTTATTAGAATGGTCATCTTACAATGCGCTGAACCTCCAAGTGTTCTACTCAAAAGTGGACCATAAGCTAACTGAGTGTTTCTTCTGTTCTAATTTTTGATGAGATGAAAAAAATATTTATATTTTTCCACTGGAGGCTTCTCACATGTCATGTCAAGATTGGTCACTGGGAAATCTCCTTTCTACTGTAAAACCACACAGATGACAACTAACAAGACTCACAGCTTTATTGAGAAAGGATCGATGAAACTGTAGCTGACTCTGGGCTAACAACTGAGGAATGTGCACCTCTTCACCTGCATTACAAGCTAGTAGCTCAGAGGCATTGGTCCTGAGGCTGGATCATTTGGAACATGATCAGTATAAACCTGAAGCAGCATCATTTCAAACAGAGCCAACAGCCACCGTGTGGAGTCCAGTGATAGGTCCTCACAGTTCCCTGAACATCCTGTCTGAAGTAAAGGTCACATCCAGCCACTCAACTGCCTCATCTCACCAAGGGGAGGCAAAGTGAAAAGATAAACTACCCAAAGCTACCAAGTAGAAGCTAAGTCATGCTCTTTTTCACCTGCCTCTGGTCTTCAGCTACTGCTACCTGGTGTTTTGTAAGTTCACTCTTTCACAATTACTTAGGAAATTTTTCAAAGTAAGTCTCCAAGATCTTTGAGTGTTTTTCTCTACTTGGTTTAAGAAGCATCAAAAAATGTCTTTGTACCAAATTGTTCTGAACATACAGATATGAGACACGTTTTATGAATTTTAAATTTAGCTAATTGAATTCACCTTGAAAAGTCTCATAACTGATCAATAATAGACAACAGAATGTACAGCCAAGTAACAGATACTGAAGGATGCTCTATTCTAAATGAGACACATGTAGAGAATGAAGCACCAACCATCTTTTTATTGTCTATTGAAAACTATAGACCTTGGTGGGGTAGGGTCTGCTGCTTCAGACTGAAGAACATAAAGATCCAGCATATAAACCCAATGTATAATACACAGAAACATCGGCAACTTTCTCTAAACACTAAAAAGACTAAAGTAAAGCCTAATATTAAACTAAAAAAATAAATGTTGTAATCATAAATAGATTCCTGTAATGGGGAAGAGCTGTACATGCGTATAATCCTAGCACTTGGGAGGCTGAGGCAAAAGTATTTTGAGTTTGAGGCAGGCCTAAGTTACACAACAAGTCTGATTCTGAAAACAAAACAAAACAAAACAAAACAAATGCTCTAAACAAAGCACTTTAAAACTGTTGTATAGTATCCAGTTAGGATGGGAGAGGCCTAAAAATATACTAAGCTGGTCAGTCAGTGGTGGTACATGCCTTTAATACCAGCACTCCAGAGGCAAAGGCAGGTGGATCTCTGTAAAGTGAGTTCCAGGACAGGATCCAAAGATACACAGAGAAACCCTATCTCAAAAAAAAAAAAAAAGGAAAAAAAGAAAAAGAAAGAAAGAAAGAAAGAAAGAAAGAAAGAAAGAAAGAAAAAGAAAGAAAGGAGTGGGTGACAATACACTAAGCTGCCAGACATGATGGTCCATAGCTTTATTCTTAGCACTCAGAGATAGAGGCAAGCAGATCCAGGGCCAGCAAAGTTTACATAGTGAGAGCCCACCTCGGTAAGAGAAACAAGAAATAACTATGTTAAGTTAGTAACATGTCAACACTCAAAGAACATCTCCCAGCAAATAGGTTGTTGATGCTGTAGCAGGTTATTACTTAAGCTGATTGACCAAAAAGAAAAGCTTCCGTGTCACTCTGGTGTCCACAATCTATTGTTAACACCTGCTTTGATACAGGGCTGAAGTCAATGTAACAAGAACTAGGCATGGGAAACCTTCTGTCACACTACTTATGTTCACTAGGAACAGAGGCCATTTTCTGTGCAGTCTGCAGATGTTATCCTCACTTCCTATAGCACATTTCCTCAGGATGCTCTGAGGAGGTCACTGCTACTACACTACTAGTCAGGCAGGCCAGAAGAACAGACCAGGAAACACACACATCCAGTTATGAGCACTGTTCAAACAAACTGAAGATAAATGTGGCTTACATTAGAGGGCAACTGAATCTATTCCTGCTATTCACATGGCCACTGACTCTCTGTTACTGGAGCACTAAAACAATATTCACAATTCTAAGGTCACTCTTAAGTGCACCTGTGTGAAGAACCGCATACATAAAGTTGATGGGGGATGTCCTTCTGTATGCTGTGAATTTATGTTTCTCTTATTGGTTGATGAATAAAGCTGTTTGAGCCAATGGACAGGCAGATGTAGCCAGACAGAAAGTATAGCTGGGGCTATCAGACTAGAAGAATACTGGGAAGAGGAACAGAGAGAGTCTCAAGGAAACACCATGTAGCTGCCAAGAAAGCCAAGAGGTCTGGGCATTACCAGGTAAGCCAAGGCCATGTGGAGATACACAGATTAATAGAAATGGGTTAATAATTAAGAGAGAGCTAGTCAATTAGAAGCCTGAGCCATAGACCAAACTTTATAATTAATATAAGCCTCGGGGTATTTATTTGGGACTCAAGGACCACAGGATGGAACAGGACAGAAACTTCCATCTATATCAAGCCCTACTCTTCTTCAGTTATTAATAAGAATATCATTTCAATGTGCGTGTATAAGCCTCCAACGGGGGCTGCCTTGGCAAGGGGCAAAGCAGACTACTTGATACAGCTATGCCTGAGCTATTGTAACACTCACAGTGTAAGAACAACCGCGGGCATCCAAGGACTACTTGAAAATTTCCTCAAAAAAAAACAACAGTTTCACTGGGCAAAATGTCCTTTTCATGTGTGTTGTTTTTTTGTTGTTGTTTAAGATGCATGTTCCTGTCTGTGAGAGAATATGAGTACAGTTGCAACTGAGGGCCAGATGCCTTGGATCTGTTGGAACTGGAGTTACAAGTGGTAGTGAGCTGTCAGAAGTAGGTGATGGGAACTGAACTTGGGTCCTCTGCAAGAACAGTATGTGCTCTTAACCACTGAGCCATTTTCCCAGCCCTTAATCTGGGTTTTTATTAAGTGAGATTTTATAGTTGTCCCATTTCTAATATCATGGTGTTAGTACTTAGAGAAATTACTTAGAGCTCAAGTATGAATAGCAGTAAAATTATCAGATTCTCCATACCTGAGATGAAAAAACATTTTATCAGGATATCTACATACAAGGTTTGTAAGACAGCAGTAATAAACAACTACACATTTTCTTACTTAGTTTAACAAAAGAAAATACCATGCTCAGATAGGGACACATGCCAGCTCTATGGGCATCTTCTTTCTCTTTGTTCAGCACAGTGATGTTCACTGTTTGGTTTTTATATCTTTTCTTTTTAGTCCAGGGAAAAATCTTGCATAGAGCTACAAAGCCCACAAACTTCAGCAGAATCACTTACACAACTTTGTACTGAAATAACCTTTAAGGGGATAACTAAAGTGATGTCTCCAGTGATTTGTAATCTTCCTAGAAGCTTTACTACTCCTGCATCTCTATACTGAGGCACTCAATTATTTTAAGCATGGTTCACCAATTAATGATTATTAGTTCATGGGTTAAAAAACAAAACAAAACACATGCTCTTTTCGTTAGCACAGAACTGTCATGGTCATCTTCCATGTCATTGCCAAGCCTTGTCATTGCTGCTACTGTTTCTTTTAGAAGGTGCATGGAAGTGCTGGGGTCACCACTTTCTTGAAGAGGTCATTTCTACTTTACACTCTAAGTTCCTCAAAGACTTTGATTGGGAACAGTTTTCAGTCAGTACACTCACAATTTAGTAGCATTTCATCTTAAAAAGGAAATCAGATGACTTATTTAGAACAAAGCCCCTGGGTATTCTTATGAAGGGATTTCTGCAACCTAAACCTAGACAAACCTGCTGAAGATGAAAAGTTACATGCCAGCTTGAAGTCTGGCAGTTTAATGTCCATCTCCAATTTCACCCTGTAGCATTTGGGTGATGGTGCAGTTTAGTGTCACAGGAGCAAAGGAAAGGTGTCAACATCACACTACTTTGTGCATTTAGCTGCTCTCACAAGGTCCAGGGTGGATCTGCCAAGGATGCATCATTCATCAACTAGCCCAGCTTCAGACAACACACACTGCAGCTTTTAACTGAGAAGGCTCACAGACTTGGCACAATTTTAGACTATCCCAAGGAAGCAGCATGTAATCACTCTTAAAGAGCCCAGATTTATACTAAAAAGAGTAATTTAATGTCTCAGGAGGAAAAACTTAAAATGGAAAAATAAACCTTGAGGAAAATGCATGTTATATACAGACCTTACCTTAGCTAAGTTATAATGTTGGTATAGGTTACTGCATTTAAAGGCACAGCCTATGGTGCTAGTGAAGGACATGAAAGCCATTCACAGAGAGAACGGCTCTTCAGCCTTGTGTGACATCAGTACATAAAAAGACAAGGCCTACCCAGGTTACTAATTCAGACATTTACTTGCTCAGCAGAAGTTGGCTTAGGAGACAGTTAAATACCGAACCTTATTCTCCTTGGGAGTTCTCAGAACTTCCCATTGGACCCCACTGATTCTCAGCTGCACTGCACATCCAGGATAATCAAATCTGGAGGGGAAGTCCAGAAGCATCTGTCTTTATTTTTCCAGGTGCCTCAAATATGCAGCCAGGATGCAGGCCACACTGCAGCTCTTTTCAGAGGCTACTGCGTGAAAGCACATGGACAGTTCCAGGCTAGACAGTTCTGCTGCTTCTAAGTTACAGGAGCTAGCGTCTTTTTAGAGAAGGACACAGCATGCTTCCTCTAAAGACACGGGCTTCTGTCTGGAGGTGCTGACTGTCAGAGGTTATCTGGAGCGCTGGTTATAAAGAAGAAAGTCCTTGTCTTGGCAGAGCAGGCAGAGTTTCAGGCTTCGGCAGCTACCTCCAGCAACAAAAAATGCCCAGATGCCCATGAACACCATGATTATATATGCTGATACCAGATTTAATTCATAATAAGGACTTAGGAAGGTCTGCAAAGGAAAAATAAGGCAGGTTTTGAAATCTGGAATAAACAGAGATAGAGGGAAACACACACCTTTCAACTGATGGACTTCATCTCACAACCACAAGATAACTGTCATGTGTTAAAGACTCAGGAAGGCATAGCAGACACTGGTCTGTGAACTTGCACTTTGCTCGACTCAAAGAAAGAAGAAAGCTGTTAGCCAAAACCTAATGGAATGCTTAACAGAAAGCACATGGAGCACCTAGCCCTGGTTTATAGCCATTTCTGGTCTAATTAATTGGTTCTAAGAATTTGCAACCAATGCAGGTACATCTAGATTACTTGTATATGAACCAGTAGTATTCAGAGGAACATGAGGAAGCAGAGTTAGTTTTTTGGCTGTACAATTGCTATGGATTCCAAAAGTTTAATCCTAATAAAACACTAACAGGAACACAGCTCAGTGGTAGAGTGCATGTTCATTATGCATGAAGCCCTGGGTTCAATCCCAGCACCAAAGCATGACTGACAGAGTGCCACAAGGTGCAGTGAGTGAAATTACTGAAGACAAGTCTCCACTATCCTAGGACTTAAATACTACTAAGTAGCACAGACAATGAAGAAATAATTAAATAAATAATTCAGGGCAAACTATGATAGATAGTAACACAGAATTGCTACAGTTGTGATGAATGCCAGGATGAGGACAAGGGGATCAATCTACTTAAGGGGTGATGGAGGTCCTGATAATATGGCACTTAACCTGACACAGATAGCAAAAGGAGTGAATTAACCCTATACAGGCTGGCTATGGGAGGAGCACAGGTGAGGACAAAGAGCTGGATACAGATAAAAATTAGGGCCAGTATGAATAAAGTTTGGGAATGGAGGAGCAGGTGAGGTGAGACAACAGCGAAGCCTGTGGATAAGCAATGTGTTATTCTCTGTGAAATATAGGGTGGTAGAGAAGGTTTAGGTTGAGATAATAATGATTGATTTTGATTTTTCAAACTGCATAAAAATGGATTAAATGAGTTGTGAGCCAGGTGTTGGTGGCACACGCCTTTAATCTCAGCACTCGGGAGGCAGAGGCAGGTGGATCTCTGTGAGTTCGAGTCCCGCCTGGTCTCCAGAGCGAGTGCCAGGATAGGCTCCAAAGCTACACAGAGAAACCCTGTCTCAAAAACAAAAACAAACAAACAAAAAGGAGATTGTGGTAAAGTACAGAGAAGATGTAGGAGAAGATTGCACTGGCTGAGGAGAACATAGGATGGTAACTTAGGGAGGTAGTGGTGGAGCTGGAGGGTGGACAGGAAGAGCTCACAGGCCTTGCTGATGGATTGAATGGGAGGCAGATGCCAAGACCAATTCTTACATTTCTGGCCTGATGATAAATGAAGTGTTAAGGATACAAAGGCTTGAGGGGCATCAACCTTGAAAGAGGTTGGGAGGAAGAGGCAGGGACAAGCTTGCAAGTATGGGTACAAATAATATCCAAAAAAATCTTGGTTACTTGTAACAGGCCATGAGATTTCAAAAGGCAGATGTCAAATAAGCACTTGAATGTCTGAGTAGAATACTCAAGAGGACAGACCAAGGGAAGGAAAAGCAGTAGCCCAGCCTCTACATGGAACTTAATGTCATACCATGGATGAGAGTTTCCAAAGAGCTATTACAGACAATAAGATTAAGTGCCACCATTTCTAAATTTCTGAGTGTTTCATAGTCAGTAATGGCTGAGCAGTGGTGGTGCATGCCTTTAATTCCAGCAACTCAGGAGGCAGAAGCAGACAGAACTCTGTGAGTTCAAGGCCAGCCTGGTCTACACAATGAGTGCTAGGACAGGCTCCAAAGCTATAAAAAACCCCTGTTGGAAAAAAAAAAAAAAAAAAAAAAAAAAAAAAAAAAGAAAGAACAAAGAAATTTGAGGCTAGGAGAAGTAGATATCGTCAATGAAATGGGTCAGTGGGTTAAGACACTTGCTGCCAAGCCAGACGATGTGAGGTGCAGACTGGCACTGAAATACTATCAGTAAGAAGTGAAACCAGCACATCTGCTACTGGTCAGAATGTGTAAGGTGTCACCACCTTATGGAGCCTGGCTTAACAATTTGTATCAAGGACTTACAACATTCACACCAATTGACTTCATAGTCTCCTGCCTCAAAACTTAAATATATGGGAAAAATCACATGTGCATAAATAGTCAAAAAAGCTTCTCAACAGCCAAAACAACAACAAAAACAAAAGGGAAGTGATTAACCAAATAAGTCAAATTTAAATAATTTTCACCTAAAGATTTAAGCTTTACTAAAATTGGTATCTTAAGGAGTTTGTAATGAAAGAAAGTTGTTTCAGATATGCTTATAACATAAGCATGATGCAAACTATTCTAGACTTGACCAACATCCACTAAAGGACAGACATGAGGAAAACCTCTAATGAGACAGATCCCCCTCCCCAAATTAACTAGACTGTCACTCTACTAAAACACACATGACTCACTGTTGACTTCCAGGGCTTCTCTGACTTGCCCTCATTTCCCATGAATGTGTCCTTCATTTGGTTGGAATCTACCACTCAGACCTCTGCACTTGAGCTCTGCAAGCACTGAGAGCACAGCCACAACACTCACCTGGGTTGATACCAGCAGGTGAGTCAGGAGAACTATAAGGAGGATGTACCACTTTTTCTTCTCACAGCCATCAAAAAACACAATGCCCCAGAACACATGCAGCAGTATGATAACCAGTGTCATGAAAGCTGAAAAGACAAGTGAGCAATTAGTGGACAGTCCCACAGACAACTGTCACCAAAGCCAGCCAAACCCCATCACTGTGCATTGGCTCTGAGGGTCCCCTGGCTGCAGTAATAGAATCTGACCACCAGTTCACAGAACTGGTTGATAAGAACCCATGATAATTTTCAAAGCATATCTGGGAGGGAGGTTCAGCCTTTCTAGGAACTATTATTGCTCTAGAATATGAACCTGTTTGCCAAAAGCCAACTTGGGTTTGGCTTTCAAGGAGTTTCCCTGAGGTATGCCATGAGATCAGTATAAATCTGCACAGCTTATTTTCAATTAGCCTCTGGCCTTAAGTAGAGAGAATTTTCTCAATTGAGCAAAGCATCATACTCTGTCTAAACAGGTCTCTGTACTAAAGAACAATTTCTCTACAGAATTTTTTTTAGGGAATGCAATAAAAATTAAAAATCATAATTATCTTATACTGTTTAAGCAGTTGGCAGTGAATCTGATCATAACTTCCGTGTCTCTGGAATACTGCCTGTGTAGGTGCCCTGTGTCCTGGATAACATTTCTTCTTTAAAGCAGGCAAGTCCCTTATATTCTGCACACTTTAACATGAAAAAAGGCATATAGATTTCCCTTTCCTGCTACATAATAAGGAGGCTGTGAGCTTTAACCCCCAGACAGAAAAACCCAGGCTAGAGTTCTGAACTGCTTGAAGGTAAATAACCTGGCATTGCCAAGCAAAAAATAGTTCCCTCTATTTCAGTGCAGCAAGGCATTTGAGCTATACTATATACTATATACTATATACTATATACTATATACTATATACACTATATATTATCTGTACTCCAATGAGTTCTCAAATCAACAGATAACTATCCTAGCAACTTGTTATCATTGAAACCTAGTAGTACCCACCCCACCCATGCATTGGGGAAGGAGCCCAACAAAGCCAGTTTAAATAGCCTTCCTAGACAATCAATGCATGGTCAAGTTTCAGAAACCTGCCAATGAGGCATTATTATAAATGTGCATAAGGAGATACAAGAATATTTATATCAGCACTGCTGCAATAACAAAGAATGCCCACCGTTACCTGCTTCTGCCTCCACTTCCCATGCGCTGCACCACCATGCCTGGTTTGAGGTCTATGTTTCTGACACAAGGATGCATTTGGAGAGTCATAAAGGATCTCTGTTAAAGCCATTTGGATCAAGATGAGTGCAGAGGAACTTGAATGTTCATCTGAGATGTCTGACTTGAATTTAGAGGCAAAATCTTCACATGCATGAGTAAATTACAGTGTACTCACACAGTGGACTACTGTATATGACCCACAACATGTGTCATCTCAAGAACACAATGCTGCATGGGAACAAATACATTGTGAAATGAATATTATTCATATGAAGTAAGAGAGCCACAAGATATTAAAAGAACATGACTGTTGTGGCTAGAGGAGAATAAGCTATCACATCTCTGTGACAGAGTCTTCATGTCAGGCTCTGGAAGACCACACTAAAAGGATTCAATTCAGGTCCAGCCATCACTCTGATGAGGACAGTTCCTAAGGACAGGTGCCTATCAATAGTGTGACACTAAGACCACTTAAGACGCCCAGGGGATAAGCAAGGGTTTTTAAATTTTTTCTCTGAGTCAAAAAGACCAAGGCAAAAATTGACACAATGGGACCTTTTTCTAATCATAACGTGTTCATATTCTAAGGAAGGGTTTTCTAGGACCTAGATGTTAATCAAATGTCAAGAAGAATCACTACCACAGGCATTTGCCATCTTCTTAGCAGCCTCTGCTTGCCCTTTTCTCTAGGCATTGCCATGGGAACCGAGATCAGCTAAGTATACTCCCAGGGTTAGCTCCTAAAGTCCAGCTACTTGGAAACACTCTTATTGGAGACATTTCCAGCCTGTTCTTATCCAAAACAGTATCCTCTGGACCTCACTGATCCTGATTGTGCTTCCAAATTCTAGGTCCGAATGTCTTGATCCTTTCAGCTAAGAAGTCTGATGGACTGACTTTGTCTGCAAAGTCAAAGCAGATATCTCAGACTAGCATTCAAGCTCCTCTGCACACATATAGACACAAATGACTTTAACAGCAGATTCTTTATGACTCTTAACTGCATCATTGTGTCAGAAACATAGAACTCAAGCCAGGCATGATGGTGTAGCACTTGGGAGGTAGAGACAGAGGCAGAAGGCTCAGAAGTTCAAGGTCATCCTTGATTTGCTTAGGAGACATTAAGTCATACAAAGTAGAATTTAATGAAGGTAGTGCTGCCTCCCAAATACCCCCCAAAACAAGTAGTTTGCTAACCAGGCCTGTTAAACAAATTTTAGGATGCTAGGATATAAGTAAGTGTTTGTTCATCAGGATTGACCAGTTTAGGCTCCATTCCTATAACAACAGAAACAACTCCAACTTAAAACCAACCATTATGCCTATCCCAGTATCAAAGAACATGCCTCTAACAGACAGCTAAAGGGGACAGCATAGGGTCTCAACCACTGTCAAGTCCTGGTGTGCTATAAAGCCCATAGTTCCCTTCTTGAGATAGCATAATTTTGCCAGATGGACAAGATGATCCCTGGTCACAACTTTTTGAAACCAACCAACCAACCAACCAACCAACCAACCAACCAACCACACTGGCATATTTAAGGTAATTCTGGCAATATCTTTAGTGTTTAAATCTCTCATCTGGTACATTGCCTGATTTACATTCTTCTGTCTCTGTTTCCATTGTGTAGCCTGGGTGTGGGTGAGAAGGTGGAGATTTAAGAATGGCAGAATATATAAAATGCAAAAGCCTAAAATGTGGCAGAATCTTGCTGGCCTAGCCCCAGAGTAATAACAATTAGTCTTAATTCCTGCTGGGCTACACCTGGCCTAGCTTCAGAGAGTTATCAGATAGCCCTAATCCATCCTTTGTTAAGCAGATATGTTTTGTCCCCCTATATGAACCTTGTCTGAGAGTTCCCCAAGGATACAAAAGCCTACCCAAAACTTGGTTCAGGAAATGGGAAAACTGTGGTACCTGATGAAACAAGAATTTGCACTTGACATTTTATTTTTGGAATCCTCATTCAAGTTGTTCTGAGCAGATGGTAATCAACTGGCTAAAGTGTAAATATTGAGAAAAATAAAAATGCTCTGTGCATACTTACAATCAAAAGGACTTGTCCCCAAATACTAAATCAATGATATGACTTGAACTTGGAACTTCTATCCCATACCTCCTTCTCTACCAAGCATTTCCAAGAAATATTAATGAGTCTAACATACTGCTGGCCTGCTCCAAAACAACCATCCATAAAAAAGAACTAACTTACATGTATACTTCATAAACTATGCCTGTCTGTAACAAAAAAAAATTCATGTACATACAGGTATCATATAATATGTAATTATATGTATCATATAATATGTAATATGTATTAATGTAACATACATAGATATAGATGCTAATTAATGACCTCACGTTCCTTATTCTAATTACCATTTTAGGAACAAATCTACTCTTACAAGGGACTCATTTTAAACTGTACTTGAAAACAGCCTGGTTTACTAAAGGGATATAGCACCATCTAAAGGACAAAAGCTATCGATACATGAGGATGGGAAGATAACAGCTCCTGTAACAGTGTAAACTGTAAGAAAATTCACAATACAAAAGGTGTCTTCTTAATTTCTACTGGACTCTGACATTTGTTTTTTTTTTTTTTACAAACTAAGCATCATTATCATTTAAAATTTATGCCACGGGGCTGGAGAGATAGTTCAGCAGTTAAGAGCACTGAGAGCTCTTCCAGAGGACCTGAGTTCAACTCCCAGCACCCACATGGCAGCTCACAACTGTCTGTAAATCCACTTCCAGGGGAACTAAGAATCTCACACAGACATATATGCACGCATAGCACCAATGCTCACTAAATAAAAATCAATAAACCATAAAAATATGCTAGGAATATTCCAGTTTGGGAATATTCACAAAGACAATTTGCTGTGTTGGAGACAACATTAATAAGCATGATCCATTAACTCACTTTCCCTTAACTTGTGCTCAGAGTTAAAGGTCTGAACTGGATGCCATAGGCCTCAGAAATCAAAGACTTTTCAAACAGGGAAGACTAGCTTGCTGGCTTCACAGAAGATGGATTTACTTGAGAAGCTGACTGTACTGATGTCCACAGGAGAGGCTAAAATTTGAACTAATGAGGAAACTGAGACTAAAGGAGGACTGTCTCTGGGTTCATGGATTGCCATGATGTCTCTAAACTACAGCAGCTTTTTAAAGTGGGTCATTTCTCTTTAGCTACTGAAACGCTATTTAGTTTTTGGTCATATTCCCATACAATATGGTAAGCTCCATAATGAGCTTTGACCTGTATGTGAACATTGATTTAACTGAAAAAATGGGTATGTGAGTCCACTTATTTCAATGACATAACTGCTGTTGGTCTAGACAACTACAAACACAACACATTTTCCTCTAGTTTTAAACAAAGTGAGATGTAATAAAAATAATATTCTAATTATGAAACAAACTTGTGACCATTGTGTCATAACTTGTAGTTGATAAATGAAAAGTAATGTGAAAAAAGTTGTTTTTTATAACTGCATCTTTGCATAAAATATTAATTAATCTACCATTTTTCTTTCTGAATTTAAAGATCAAATCATGCTGTCTATCTGTAAAAGGCACAGAGTTATAGACTAATCAAAGATTAGAACTTAGGACTAGGGGTCTTGTGTTGAATTCCTAGCACTGAGCAAGAAAAAAAAATAGGGGTTTATGGGTTTATATTGAATATAAATATATAATGACAAAACAAAAAGGATAGATCTCATGAAAATTAGCTGCTAATGTTTCAACTATACTGTAACATTTTAGTATGACCAAATAAATATATATAAATCATTGTTTGGGTTTTGATGTTGGTTTTTGTTTTTGAGATAGGGTTTTCTCTGTGTAGCTTTGGAGGCTGTCATGGAACTCACTCTGTAGACTAGAACAATCTGAAACTCACAGAATCTGCCTGTCTCTACCTCCTGAATGCTATGATTATAGGCGTGTGCCACCACTGTGGTAAACATATAAATCTTTTGCAAGATAAATTCCTGTAATAGGGGTTCAGAGGTTAAGAGCATCGACTGCTCTTCCAGAGGTCCTGAGTTCAATACCCAGCAATCACATGGTGGTTCACAACCATCCATTATGAGATCTGGTGCCCTCTTCTGGTGTGCAGATATACATGGAAGCAGAATGTTGTATACATAATAAATAAATAAAATCTTTTTAAAAAACCTGTAATATTCTAAAGCACTCCAAGCAAACCCCTGTCCCCACTCCCAGGTCCTACACTTATAGTGCCTAGGAATATCTTCCCTTTAAAAGGGAATATTTTCCCATTAAAAGAATTCACTTGAATTCTGAAGCCAATGAATTGCAATAAGGATGATCCTTTAGAGCAGGACCCTGAACACCTACAGCTATGGCACATACCTGAATTAAGGAAGAACTGTGGAGAATCCCCATGAATGCCCACTGTGCCTGGCCCCAAGGAGTCAGACAGGGTGTTCACAAAGGAAAACACTCCGCTCATGATTCCAAAGCCCAAGCCAGAAACTAAAGAGGAAGAAAAACACCGTTAAGCCCTCTTCCTGTTATGAGTTCAGTTCAACTCTAATTTGCAAGGACTGGGGAACACTATTTCCCTGCAGGGAAAAGGCTACACCTGCTGCTGCTGAAGCATCAGACAGCCAGCTCTGGAAGGCTCAGTGAGGAGGGAGAAGAGGACAGGAAGTGCAGGAGGTAGTAGATCAATGAACCAAGGAGAGGCACAGAAGAAACTAGAGAGGAAGAAGAGGGTAATGTGCT